TTATGGTCCCCTTCATGGTCTCAGTCCTTTCCCCAGAGGAAACGCTTTTTGTGAATTTGTTGTATATTCACTGTGACACAGTATTCCTGCTGTGTTGCTTAAATAGTTTTAAGGCTCACGTCTCCTTCATGGTAATCTTGTTTTCATTTTAACTTCTTCCTTTATCATTGGGTTGTCTGTCAGCTCTGTCCTTTGATATTCTCATTTCTTTTCCCTTTTTTATTTCTTTCTTTGTTTTGGATTTGGGGAGGCTCTAGTTAGCTTCTGTAGCTATCACCAGCTGATGAGAATTTGTCTTTTTTAATAGATAAATCAGCCAATCACTTTTTCTTTGATTCTTTTCAGCTATTGATTGGTAGCCAAAGATAGCTTTGATTACTTCTAGTTTTGTATATAGAAAGTTCTGGATGATAGAAGGCACCAGCTATCCAAAATGCAAGTGTTACTGTATCAGAATTGCAGCTCTGCAAGTAAGTATCAAAATATAAAATTTAGCAGGCTGCAACTTTTTATGCCATGTATCTTAAATTCTATGTAACCCACTCTAGGACTTAATTTTAAAGTAACTATTCAAGCTTTTCTAATGTCTCTTAATTTAGGACGAGAAATATGCTGATTTCCTAAAGCAGGTATGCCCCAAAACAGATGGCATTGATCACTGCCAGCTGCTAAGACCCTTTGCTTATATTAATGAGAGAGGATAGTCAGGGCATGGAATAGAGCCCTTGGAATGCAGATTCTTTAGTATTCCTTTTCTGATATTTTCATCATCACCATTCTGATTTGCTTCAAAGATCCTACAAGGCTTTTTTTCCTACCATCAAGGCTGTTTCCCAGTCTCATTCTTTATAATCATGTGATACGGATTTTCGCAGACGAGTGGGCTAGATTTTTAACATTTAAAAAACATTAACCTTTGATTAATAATGGAATTCTGGAAATTTCTTCTACAATGGGCATTGTATTTTAAAAATGTTTGGCTTGTCATGGGAGTTATTGTGGGGGGTGATACAAGTGCCTATTTCTGATTATAAACTTACAGGACCATATGAACCAGAAGATTAAGAAGAATGATTTATGGCCAGGCGCGGTGGCTCACGCCTGTAATCCCAGCACTTTGGGAGGCTGAGGCAGGTGGATCTCCTGAGGTCAGGAGTTCAAGACCAGCCTGGCCAACATGGTGAAACCCTGCCTCTTTAAAAAAAAAAAAAAAAAAAAAAAAGAAGAACTTTTCTGAGCTGTATAGCACTCTTGTGTTTGCATTTTCTGGAGGAAAGGAAAGCTGCTTTGTTTTATTGGAAATGACTTGATGTCACATTTGGAAGGCAGACTGTCCTAATTGTTTTTTCCTGTCTTTGGCATAGTACTCTTTCTTTCCTTTCCTTATGTAATAAACACATGCCTGAAAAGTTTAGCATATCAAGACATATAAAATGTTTTCATAGCATCTGTATAATTATGTTAAGACATGGGTGATGAGTCCTTTTGTAAAATGAACCCTATACTTTGAACAGTTTAAATATACAGTGGGTTAAACTGAGTGTATATATTAACAAGATCATATGGAGTAAGGGAGTATTGGTTTTTTTTTAAAGGTTAACTATGAAAGGATTTGTATAGGTGGGCTTTAAGCTGAATTCTAGAGGAACAACAAAGGTAGGTGGGAGAAGTAGGTAAGAGCGGGTTAAAAGTTAGAGGAAGATGTAAAAATGATCGAATTAGTATAATAGTTACTGTGCAGCAGTAGTAATAATCACTTTTACTTTGGTTCCACATGAAGACACAAGGTGTTTCTTTTCTTTCTTTTTTTTTTTCTTTTGAGACAGAGTCTGGCTCTGTGGGCCAGGCTGGAGTGCAGTGGCACCATCTTGGCTCACTGCAACCTCCAACTCTCAGGTTCAGATGATTCTCCTACCTCAGCCTCCCGAGTAGCTTGGATTACAGATATGTGCCACCATGTCCAGCTAATTTTTGGATTTTTAGTAGAGACAGGGTTTTACCATGTTGGCCAGGCTGGTCTTGAACTCCTGACCTCAAATGATTCGCCTGCCTCGGCCTCTTAAAGTGCTGGGATTATGGGCATGAGCCACCACACCCTGCGACACAAGGTTTTACTTGTACACTGCTTTAGATCTCTTCTGCCTTGGACTAGATTAGAAATTGGTCATAGATCTTTATACAGTTCCCACTTTATTATGTGAACTCGCAGCTTATTTTGGAAGAAATGGAGAGAGGAACGTTTCTCTCCATTTGGGGATTTAAGGGATCAGGGAGATAAGCTTTAAACTTTTGGTTCTATACCTCTCTACCTGTAGCTTTCCTTTCACTGAAGGGTTATGGATCTTCTGTCAGAGAGAAGGGAACTGTCCTATCTCCAGCCCACTGTGACATGTGACCCTCAACTAGTGTACTTGTGAGAAGGGCTTTGGTTGCCACACTAGGAAATGTGGGAGGGCTTCCCTTGTGCTGGCCCCATTTGTAGACATGGGGGTGCCTCCATTGCTTTGTATGCTGTTGACATTTTCTCCTCCCTCTTTGTTTTCCCTAAGCTAAGCTCTAAGCTAATTCTGTACAAAAAAAATACTGATTGTTTTTGTCAATTGCTTGCCATTAATGCCTGATAATGTACAGTAAAATAGGATTCTGCATACCATTAAATATGTCAAATATTACAAACTTTAAGGTTCTTTTGAAATTACAATACTAAACTCAGTTCACTTTTGCTTAGCCTTCACAGTTGTTGATCACATAGCATGGTCATCCACTCACAGCTTAAAAAAATACAGGGAGCATCGGAGAGAATGGGTAAAGTAAAATTTTGATGTTTTTAAAATAGCACCTAAATCTATGAAAGTTGATTTGGTTTCTTGTTTGTATGGGAGGGAGAGGGTGGGTAGTACGGTGGGGGGAAGGGGTGGATATTGGGGAAGATAGCATGCACCATATGAAATCATGTCAGAGACCACCTAGGCTAAGGTTGTAAATGTTACTAATACAATTTAAATATTAAAGGAAGTTTCAGAAAAGACAGGACCGTAGAATGGCAGTGTTGGGAATTACAGTGGGCTTATTTTTTTCCTCCTGACTTATGGAAGGGGATTTTGAGAATAGCAGTATTTGAGTACAATTTGGAGAGGAGGCTTTCTTTTAAAGTGACTTGTCTGTATTCCCTGAGTGGAACTGGCTGCCTCAGTACCACCTTAGGCTCTGATACATTGGTGAAAGACCTGGAGAAGAATAATATGCATCCTCATTTTTACTGTATTCTTGTCACTCAGGTGTTCTCAAAGATTATAATTCATGAAACTCATGAAAGGGTTGAGCAAAAGAGGGAGATAAGAGAGTTATTTCTTAGTAGAAAATTTGGTAGAAACAGGAATTAACAGAAATTTGATGTTTCTATTAAAATGAAAAACACTTCACTTGCTAGAGTTCTAAATCAAGTTTCTAATTCTAAAAACTTGACTGTGTAGTTAGCATACAAGGCCTAGTTAAATATTGTAGAGGTTATAGGACAGAGATAGCCTCCATGTGTTTATAGGTAGGATTTTTCGTTGTTGTTGTTGACAAAAATAACTTCATCTAGTTCTCCAGTCCATTATTTTAATTTTTTTACTTTATACACTAAAAATTTGGTTTGAAAAAATGAAAAATGTAAGAAACCAAATATTACTCAAAAAGTGTTTTTCTGATCCCAACTTTGCAATTCTTCTACATGAAGCCATGGACTAGACTAGAAATTAGCCATAGGTCTTTATACAGTTTCACATTATTATGTGAACTCAGCAGCTTATATGCCAAAGCCAAATATGGTTTACTTACTGGTCTCCCAATCCTTTTTGCTTCTATAAGCTTTATCAAAGATATCACTCCAGTTTGTAGTGCTCTTTTTTCTACTTTCCTTTGATCTAAGTCCTATCTTTCCTTCAGATTTTGGCTATTTATTTCATGAAGCTTTTCCCAGTATCTCCAGTCTTGGTGGTAATTTTAGTCTATGCATTCCTGAAGTACTGCCTAATTGAAACACATTTGACACTTGGATCATGTTATCTTAAATTATAACTTATTACTCCATTAATATATCCTTGGCCAGATACAGTGCTCCTGCCTGTAATTTCAGTATGTTGGGAGGCTGAGGTGGGAGGATTATTTGAGGGCAGGAGTTGGAGGTCAGCCTGGGTAACATAGTTAGACCCTGTTTCACAAAAAATTTAAAAAAATTAATATGTCCTATTTCTTTAGCAAAATCATTGGCTCCTTGAGAGGAGAGAACTTGTCTTATATGCCTCTTTGTAATTCCATTGCCTGGCACAGCAGATGTGGTCACTAAGAGGTTTGATTCTGTGATTTGTATCCATTGTTAGTGTGACAAGGTACTTTTTTTTTCTTCATAATTTAGGTTTTTTTATATGACTTTATGCCCACAAAACCCAAAGATAAAATACATTAGATTGAAAATAATTTCTCGTATTATAAGCAAATTTGGTTTCTAAAATAGGCTACTTTTTATAAAATAGGCACTGTTTTACCTAATTCTTATGAAAAACATGGTTTGGGCCAGATATCTTGACAGAAACCAAAATTACCAACAGTTTTCTTTTAAAATTCATTGTTGGTTTAGCCAAATTGTGCTTCCATTGAATAAGCCCAAATAAATTTGTTAAATACTGCATGGTTATGCAGCCAGTTTGTTTTCAAATATCAACCTTAAACTCCCTTAAGCAGAACTTTAAAAATATCAATAAACAGATAGTTGCTATTCTCTCTCAGGATATTTCTGTGTCTCAAATTATTAAGTGTTTTATTATTTCATTGTTTTAAAGATAATGGCTGCTATTTGATAGCTGTGTTTGTTGTGTTTGCTACAGTTATCAAATATTTTTAAATTTTTAAAATTTTTATTTTATGTATATATATATACACATGTAAAAAGACGGGATTTCACCATGTTGGTCAGGCTGGTCTTGAACTCCTGACGTCAGGTGATCCACCCGCCTTGGCCTCCAAAGTGCTTGGATTACAGGCGTGAGCCACCACTCCCGGCCCAGTTATCAAGTATTTTTGGAGCACCCATTCATTTGTAGTGAGGAGTTATTTTAAAATGCTTTTTGGAATTTATAGAAACAGATGCTGTTTTAAAAAGCTTACCAGGGAAAATGTGTACAACTATTATGTATCAATAAAAATTTAAAAAAACACAAGAAGCTCACCAGGGTTACTTGCTGGTTTGCTGTATTTCTATTTGGAATTGTTCATATTTTAACTGATAGCTGTGTCTTCAGGGCACAATTAACAATATTTAAATGTAAGTTGTTAAGCAAAAATCAGTCTCTACTTGATGAAATGTTTGATTAGTAAAACTTCACCCTGATTGTATTAGAAGGCCTGAGCCATTAGTTTAACAAAGGACTGAAATGATTCCACTGTTGCATTACCAAAACATTTTAATACTTTTAGCAGGAAGACTACTAGATACATAAGGGTTTTTTTGTTTTGTTTTGTTTCAACTTAAAAATTTTATCATTTTAAAATTTCTTAATATAATTAGGGTACAGATTTGAAATGAAATTTTTTTCTTAGATGGTAGGAAGCAAAAAGCCTCTAATAGCATTGACATTCTGGTATGAACTTATCACGGTACCCTTCTAACATGAGCGTGAGGCCCTCACCAAAGTCTTGATAAAAAATAATAATTTCTTAAAACCCCACTTGGCTCAAAGACATTGTCCAGAGCTCCAGTTTTGGACTTTTACCTGTAGTCAGTCATATAGTTATCTGGGGTTATACTTGTTAAGTCAGTATTTTAAAAAATGAAACACCCCGATTTTGTTCACTTTTGTTTTTATATAAAAGAATCTTTACAGTCAAAATGTACTTCTAGATGCTGTATTGAAATTGCTGGCAGAGTTTATTCTATACAAAATGAACAATCTGGCCCCTTGTTTTATTTGTAAAGGTTCAATGTATCTATGCCTGCCTACCTCAATCTGCAAGGGAGTGTCAGAAAGGCCCCGCATTCGCCAAGCCGTGAGTTATCACTAACTTTTCAGATGTGTTAATGAATGTGGAACAACAGCAGTTGTGTTTAGAAGGAAAAACCACCAAAATAACTTTTATTATAGTAGCAGGCGTAAACCCTAAACCGAATATCCAAATTGTGTCAAAAATAACCTACTAGAGATGAGCTTCTAGAAAACCTATTGTTGAACTGCTCTGAAGCTATCATTTTAGCTATATTAAAATTTTATATACCCTGGTTGCAAATTAGAATGTCAAAAATATTTTTAACCAAGTTAAAACAATTTGAACAAAATCTTACCCCATCTAAAAACAATACTATTTAGTTGAGTTTAAGTTAAGCTCTTCAGTATATGACCATATAAAGGGGTAAAGTTTTAATCTTTTTATTATTCACATGTGAAAATACAGAAATTAAATGATTGAATCACATCCTACATGAAAGTTTTTGGAGTGCTCCAGGCATATCATGTGAAGTACAGAGGTATTTATATCTTTTTTTGGCACCAGTAGTTCTCGCTTCAGTAATTCACCAGTAGGTTTTCATTCACCAATGATGTATCAAGTTTAGGCTGAAATAAAACACCTACATTTCTTAGGGCTTATCATTCTATATAGAAAGAGGAAACATCCTTACGAGTTTTTCTTTTGTTTTTCCAAAGAGATTCTAAGCAAAAAAATTGTAACTAACATCTATATTTTGTTATTGGAGCTAGTTACCTTTCTTTTTCTTAGATTCTTTAACATTTTGAGTAGATAGCCATATTTGATAAGCAGGTTGGATGCTTCTGTTGCTTAGGAGGTAGGTGTATCGTGTTATGTGAAGACAGAATGAATTTAAATGTACCCAGTTTGGCAATGTAAAAAAGCGCAGACTACGTAAAAGTTGGAGGTATGGAACCTTTGGACGCATGAAAGTTAACGTTTCATTTAGGCAATGTGCCTTTGTTTGACTGGTGTGTAAGTCCTTCTTCCAGGTTTGTACGCTCTTAAACGCGTTACTCTACCCTCTCTAACTCCTCCCAGCAGCAAAAGGGAGACACTTCAGCTGGAACAAAATAGTGGAAGAAATGGCGTCTGGGGTTCAGTGGGGATTCGCAGTGTGTATGCAATGTTTGCAAGATTATTTTTTATGTTTTTCAATTACTGTAAATAAAAATATATCAATGCTTAGTGTCAAGAAGGGAACATTGTATACCAATATAAACTTTCTTAGTGGGTCTACAAGTTGCTTAACCTCTCGGGGCCTCAGTTTTCTCATCTGCAATATGAAGGAGTTGGACTCGATAATCTTTAAAGTCCATTCCTGCTCTAAAATCCTGTGCTTTTTCTGAAGTACTCTATTTAACAGAATGCATTGCTTTCTCACTTTGACTATTTGAATTATGTATGCAGTACACTTACTGCAACTGCATGTTGTCTAAAATAGTTTTTCTATAGGATGTATGTAAAAACTAATCCCTCTTGAGCTGATTGATAATGTGTGTATGTAGCCACACATAAAAAGCTAGTAATAGTAGGGCTCTCAGAAAATACTTTCCAGTTGTCTAACCTTGAGTGTTATTAACTCTTCTATATTACAGGAGATACTACTCGTCAACGAATCAAATTCAGTGATGACAGAGTATGCAAGAGTCACCTTCTCAACTGTTGTCCTCATGATGTCCTTTCTGGAACTGTATGTATTTACTAAATGTATTGTTTGATTACTGAATGCCGCAATAATGAGCTACTTGATAAAGTCTTAATTCTGTTTCAAAAGAATTGACTTGTGAGGAGGGATTTGCATCCTTTATTGTTCACGGTGATTATTCAAATCTTCAGTAATGGGTTTCCTCACAGAAGTGGTTGATATGTTTTATATTTTTTTCTATTCTTCAGAGCAAAAAATTTTTAAAAGCATGTTTTGTTTGGAATACAGAAGTAGTTATATAGCATTTGTACTGTTAGTTCAGAAATAAAATAACTTATTGTTAAAGTAGTTCTTTTACTACTAAACAGTAGACTTTTAACAGTTAAACAGTAGACTTTAGTACAATATACATTTTTGTTAAGATTTGTACACATTTATATTGTGGAATGAGTGGGGAAATGTGTAAGTAAATACTTACATAAGTATTATCCACACAGCTTAATTTGAGAGTATTGTCACTTAAAATGTTGCTCCTGCTAATACTATAAAGCTCAGGTTAGGCTCTATGTCTGCAGAGATGTTGATCTTAGAGTATCATTGTTTTACTTTGAATGACCACATGATTATGAACCTGTTGGAATATGGGACAAATAATTTGATTCTCTGACTTTTGGATTTGGTTGAAATGATTATAAGCAGCTTCTCTTCATAGCTGCATCTGATGCTGGAGGGGAGCTTTATTAGGGGCTAAGCCTCAAGCTGGCTTTAGTTCTCATTTGCCAGAAATGACTAAAATGAAGAAAGATTTCTGACTTGCCTTTTCAGAAGTAGTGAGTTTCTTAGTCAAAGATATCTAAATGAGTAGTGTCTTTGATAGGAAGCGACTTTGATAGAAGAGTTAAAATTAAGGATGTTCCCCAAAGAGGTATGTCTTAAGGCATATGCAACAGGAAACACCTTTGTCCTTCTAGTAGGAAAGACAGTTGAAACTTTTTTTTTTTCTTTTTTTTTTTTTTTGAGACGGAGTTTCGCTCTTGTTACCCAGGCTGGAGTGCAATGGCGCGATCTCGGCTCACCGCAACCTCCGCCTCCTGGGTTCAGGCAATTCTCCTGCCTCAGCCTCCTGAGTAGCTGGGATTATAGGCATGCACCACCATGCCCAGCTAATTTTTTGTATTTTTATTAGAGACGGGGTTTCACCATGTTGACCATGGTTGGTCTCGATCTCTCGACCTCGTGATCCACCCGCCTCGGCCTCCCAAAGTGCTGGGATTACAGGCTTGAGCCACCGCGCCCGGCCAGTTGAAACTTTTAATAGGAAAAAAGAGCGTAAGTTTGTTTATGTAATACTACAAGGCGAGAAATCCAGTTTCTGAGCCCTGGAATTAGGAAGGACTGTGACAGATAAACATAATAAACTCTAAACGTTTTTTGAGATGGAGTCTCGCTCTCTTGCCCAGGCTGAAGTGCAGTGGTGCAATCTCAGCTCAGTGCTACCTCTGCTTCCCGACTTCAAGCACTTCTCCTGCCTCAGCCTCTGGAATAGCTGGGATTACAGGCTCACACCACCACACCTGGCTAATTTTCATATTTTTAGTAGAGACGGGATTTTACCATGTTGGCCAGGCTGGTCTTGAACTCCTCACCCCTGGCGTTTTTGTTTGTTTGTTTGTTTGTTTGTTTTGAGGCAGGCTGTGAATATTGCCCACTGCAGCCTCCACCTCCCGGGTTCAAGAGTTTCTCCCTTCAGCCTTTTACGTAGCTGTAATTACAGGCACACACCACCATGCTCAGCTAATTTTTGTATTTTTTGTAGAGACGAGGTTTCACCGTATTACCCAGGCTGGACTCGAACTCCTGGCCTCAAGTAATCCTCCTGCCTCGGCCTCCAAAAGTACTGGGATTACAGGCATGAGTCACTGTGCCCTGCCATAATAAACTCCTTTATCTACTTTCTAACATTTTCATAATTATTTTCCACTATGCTATATATAATGCATCTGAAATCTATAAAATCTATGATTGTCTGTAGTATACTCTGATTTTCCATGTTTTTTTTTTTTTGTTGTTTTGTTTTTGAGACGGAGTTTCACTCTTGTTACCCAGGCTGGAGTGCAATGGCGCGATCTCGGCTCACCGCAACCTCCGCCTCCTGGGTTCAGGCAATTCTCCTGTCTCAGCCTCCTAAGTCGCTGGGATTACAGGCACGCGCCACCACGCCCAGCTAGTTTTTTGTATTTTTAGTAGAGACGGGGTTTCACCATGTTGACCAGGATGGTCTTGATCTCTCGACCTCGTGATCCACCCGCCTCGGCCTCCCAAAGTGCTGGGATTACAGGCTTGAGCCACCGTGCCCGGCCCCATGTTTAATATTGTATAAAATTTAACTGTTAAGGTTATTTTATTTGAAAATTTTTAATTTTAAATTTTATTTAATGGCTAAATAACCACTTGAGATACATTTTGAGAACAACATTAATAAAACTACTTGAGGCCCGGAGTTTGAGACTAACCTGGTCAACATAGTGAAACTCCATCTCTACAAAAAAAAAAATTAGCCTGGCATGGTGGCATATTCCTGAAGTCCTAGCCACCTGGGAGGCTAAGACAGGAGGATTGCTTGAGCTCAGGAATTCAAGACTTCAAGTGAGCCGTACACACCACTGTACTTCACCCTTGACAACAGTGAGACCCCGCCTCAAAAAAAAAAAAAAAATTGGCAGTTACAATTCAGTGTCTCTCATTCTTCATTTAACAGCAGAAAAGAAATAGGCATCTTCAACATAAAGAGGTGTGAACTATTACACTCTTGTCACAAAAAGCATTTGTTCTATAGGGTTTGACTGCTAAGAAGCCATAGCTCTGTAATAAGCTATTTGTACATAGGGTGAACTGTTAAGTTTTTCGAGTCCTTAAGGACATCACTATATGCCACTGTTGGAGTCTCACAAAATCCTTTACCTAGTCCTCAAAACTCTGCCTAAATTCTGAAAGGTTCACAACTCAAGTAATCCTCCCATCTCAAGTAAAGCCTCCCAAAACACTAGGATTACAGGCATGAGCCACTGTGCCTGGCCTTAACTGTCGATTTTTATAATGCTTTTTCTTTATTGTGTACCCTAAAGATTTCATGACTAAAGGTTGCCCTTTAGTCTTCTGGACATTGTGCCTAAGATCTGTCATTTGTAGGAGAATATGATTTACCAATATTTTAGATTATTTAGAAAAAGAATACAGAAAAGCCATGAATGGTGGCATATGCTTATAGCCCCAGCAATTTTGGAGGCTGAGGTGGGAGGATTGCTTGAATTCAGGATTTCAGATTCAGCCTGGGCAAAAAAAAAAAAAAAAAGTATCCAGAAATGCATTTCCTGCCTGTGTTTTCCTTATAAAGAGATTGGAACATTATATCAAGCATTTAGAGACAGAGAGTGTAATTTGTTTTTTGTTTTTCTTTTATAATTAATGATACAGATGGGGTGTCACCATGTTGGCCAGGCTGGTCTCAAACTCCTGACCTCAGGTGATCCACCCATCTCAGCCTCCCAAAGTGCTGGGATTACAGGCATGAGCCATCGCGCCCAGCCGGAGAGTGTAATTTGTAAAAATTGTCTTCATGACTGACAGTTTGGAATTTTGTGGAACTGAGTTTCATGAAAATGCACTTAAAAGATTTTACCTTATTACTCTGGCATAACTATTTTTTTTTTTTGGAGACAGAGCCTTTGCTTTGTTGCCCAGGCTGGAGTTCAGTGGCACAATCTCTGCTCAGTGCAACCTCCGTCTCCTGAGTTCAAGCGATTCTCCTGTCTCAGCCTCCCGAGTAGCTGGGACTATAGGTATATGCCACCATGCCTGGGTAATTTTTGTAGTTTTAGTAGAGACGGGGTTTCACCATGTTGGCCCGCCTGGTCTTGAACTCCTGACCTTGTGATCCACCTGTCTCGGCCTCCCAAAGTGCTGGGATTACAGACGTGAGCCACCTCACCTGGCCTGGCATAACTAATTCTTCAGCTAATAAATTAATCAGGGCCTGGTGCAGTGGCTCACACATGTGATCTCAGCACTTTGGGAGACTGATCTGTTGAGAGGTTGGGAGTTTGAGACCAGCCTGGCCAACATGGTTAAATTCCGTCTCTACTAAAAATACAAAATAATTAGCTGGAAGCCTGTGATCCCAGTTGCTTAGGAGGCTGAGGCAGGAGAATCACTTGAACTTGGGAGGTAGAGAGTGCAGTGAGCTGAGATCATGCCACTGTACTCCAGCCTGGGCAAAACAGCTGAGACTCTGTTTCAACAACAACAACAGGCTGGGCGCAGTGGCTCATGCCTGCAATCCTAGCACTTTGGGAGGCTGAGGGGGGTGGATCACCCGAGGTCAGGAGTTCAAGACCAGCCTGGCCATCATGGTGAAACCCCATCTTAAAAAAAAAAAAAAGTATATTAAAACAGCAGCAGCACTGGGTGCGGTGGCTCACGCCTGTAATCCCAGCACTTTGGGAGGCCGAGGCGGGTGGATCACAAGGTTAAGAGATTGAGGCCATCCTGGTCAACATAGTGAAACCCCGTCTCTACTAAAAATACGAAAAATTAGCTGGGCGTGGTGGCGCGTGCCTGTAATCCCAGCTACTCAGGAGGCCGAGGCAGGAGAATTGCCTGAACCCAGGAGGCGGAGGTTGCGGTGAGCCGAGATCGCGCCATTGCACTTCAGCCTGGGTAACAAGAGCAAAACTCTGTCTCAAAAAAACAAAACAAAACAAAACAAAACAGCAGCAGCAACAACAACAAAAAGGCTTGGATTATTTTTCTGTTCCTCTTGAATATTTTCATATTGTAGTCTCTCTCTTTTCCTCGTTTTGGCCCACTTGGTTTCTCCCTAAATTTACTGTAGGCAGTAACCTCTTTCAGATTTAGGCAAAACAAAAAATCTTAAGCCAAGTTATTTTTTCCCCCAACACATTGCTTCTGGTACATATCTTCCCTGAGGAAAGATAAGGAAATTGATGTGCTTTAAAAAATAATTCTGTCTAGCTCTTAGTGATCTG